ACTTTTCTGAAAACTCCCACGCTACCTCTGCAACCCAGTTCTAAATCTTTTCAAGACCTGCTTGGAGCTGGGACCAGCCTCCACCGCAATGGGGACCCGATTCTCTGCAGAATGTTTCCCCCCGTGTTCTCAGCCGGGGTCAGGCTCCCCCGGTACAGGGGAAGGTGATGGAGTCCTCCTCTAATAAGGAGCCTGAGTACTTCAGACCTTACTCAAAATTCCTTGCTTTGAGCTGCTACAAGCTTGAAGAGGACACAGGTGGCCCTGCTTCAAGCAGCAGGTTGGATGAAATGACCTCCTCAAGCCTGTTCTAACCTGAATGGATGCTCTTCGAATCCAGGTAACTTTCAGGACAGCTTAAGACAGATTTTTTTTAAAAGGATGCCATGGTCATTTCTATTACAGTGTCATTAAAGTGAGCAAACTCCATTGGATATTCATGGTAAGAAACTTATGATATACGGCAGCTTCCAAACTCCAGGAATCTAGCCTGGCTTTATAGATCAGATCTGCTGTGATTCTTCACTGTAACAAAATTGAAGACAAAAGCTAGAATTTGAAACAGGGTCTGCATGGTTATGTCCAAAACTAAATATCATCTTGTGCCATACGCATTAAACTACATTGTTCATACACAGACCTTTCTTTTACTACAAGAAAAACCTGAATTATGTATTCACACAAATCAAGGTATGATTATTCCTCAGACATCTACGTAACAGCTGCAAATTTTTGCCGTAAGATTATTTTCATGTAGAAATTAATTTTCATTGTGATCCTAATGCCACCAAACCAAATGGAAATCGTGACAAAGAGACTGAGGGGAAAATATTGCATTCACCAGCCTGCTTGTCCCAAACCCAAAATGCTAACTTTCAGCCTGATATACTCAACAAGTGAACAAAATGATTCTATCAAAAATAACAGTCCTTCCCAATACAAACGCAAGCAGTCAGTTGCACATGTAATTTTACCAATAACACAAAATCTGAATCCTTTTGAAGATGTCAGTGACATCAACTCACTTTAAGGTTAAATACAGTGATGTGATCCCACAATTTGCTAGCACACAAACTATTTTTCAAATCGCTACGCCACAACTGTAAAGTATTAGCCATCACTCTCCTTTGCCCACAAGCAGTTAAGAGTTACATATTCGCTAGTTCCTACTAAAAATCAGAGGCAAACCCAGCCCAGTGTAATTTCTTAAAAAAAAAATAAAAATAAAAATTGCGCTCTTGGCATTTACTCGTTTTCTTTGCTACTTGGCAAACAAAATGCCATGAGCAGAAACTCCTCCGCTCCCTGCGCAGGCTCTTAGGGCAGCGCTGCCGCCCGCTGGGAAAAGGCTGATGTCAGCTCTGCAGAGCTCCCTGCCAGGAGAAGGAGGCCTTTGTTTTCAGCTGAACTGTGAAAATGAGAAAATGCCTCCAGCCTGACAAACAAGAAACCCACATAACACAGGTCAGGCCTGAGACCTTCGCTTAAAGGTACAACACACTTCTTTCACGTTCCCCTTACATCACAATGCCCAGACAGAGGTAATTTCACAAAGGAGTTGCCATGAAATGCTAAATTCACCTTGGAAGTGTAACAAAGCAGCTTCATTTGTTAAGAAAGACCGGTATAGCTCTCCAGCCACTTCACCCATACATAGAGCGCTTGTAATTCTTACATAAATCAAGCTCCTAATTACTCTTCTGTAAATCAAGGTGATTTTAGTGAAGTCATATGAAAACAAAGGCATGTTTCAACTTGAGGCTTAAAATAAGCTTGCTTCTCCTTTACAAAGCACCAGAAAATAAAGTATGGTACAAAAAGCACATTTTACTTCAGCAAGATTATACTGTAGTGAATACATCTTAAGTACAACATTTGAGGGCCATACAAGGAAGTGTGAAATGCAAATAGAGGAATTTCATATTACAGTGCCTAGGTTTTAATTTGGGGTGGAAGTATACGGTTTTTCCCAAGTGAGGGGCTTATGGGTGTAATCTTTTATGACCACAAAAATACAGAAGCTGTATAAATACAGTCCAGTACACTACCGTAAGTAAGGCAAGCAGTTTCAACTACTGATTTTTTAAAATTAATCCACAAGGTCTCAAGTATATTTTATTACTCTAAAGCTGAGAATTACCTCCTCTGAAAAACAGAGCCTTTGATAAATTGTTCTTTGCACAGGAATTCCATTACATATTTTAGAAACATAGTAGGATTGCCAGGGCACTTGATTTGCTCTGCTCCAGAGACTGTACTCCAATCGTTGTGTTTTTCCATGATAAAAGTAAACATACCCAAGTACAATACAAAGAACCTGATCAAAGAAGATACATCAGGGAGTCACGCCTGATCGGAGAATATCTCAAAGCATTCAATTCCCAAACAAAAGGCTGGGTTACAGGATTGCTAGTAAAATATCTGAAGTATTTAAATGGCTTCACTCCCACTGAAGCACAGTGACTGAGATGTCAGGCTGCTGGTACCTAAGAGTTAACATCCAATTGCTAACAAAAGGTTCTACCATTTCTAATGAACCACAGCACACAATTCTTGTCCTATTTAATTACGTTTCCAACCACAATATGTTGGTGTTAAGAGGATGAATATACAACTGCTTCACAGTTCTACCAATGCAATCACAAAGACCCAAATGTCTGAACAAGACCTGCTCGCGGTTATAAGACTTCTGTCTTCCAGGCACTGACTTCCAAATGAAAAAGATCTGCCTGTCTGGACATTTAGAACAACCAAAGACGCTCAGCCAGAGAAGTATGGATTTAAACAGCGCTATGTGGCAAAGGTGTGCAGTCTGTAGCCCTGAATAATACTGCCTCGGGCAGCTATGCCCAGTTTTGTACCACCAACTCTTTTGTCCTATGCTTTCAGGGGACTTTGTCCTGAAAAGTTCAAAATACATAGACTCTGAACTTCACCTTTAGAGTCCAGCTCACAAAAATGTCTTTGCTATCACCAAAGATACCGTGCCATTTAGTCTCCACATTATGCTCCACTTCTATGGATGTGGTTTTCTGAATTGAATGTTATCAAACACTTCCAGAACCTCCAAGTCACTACAAAGTGACTGCCATTATTGTGTTCCATAATCCCCAAATCTACTGTCTTCTCTTTAGTGTGAACAAGTCAAGCTTCTACAACATACTTCCCACCTACAAAACAAAATTTTTAAGACAGTTCCACAAAGGTTGAGTAATCCATTTCTATTGTTGAACCAGAACGTCATAATCCAAAAAAAAGAGGGAAAATATGAAAAACTTTCGAAAAAATAACTTAATTGGTGGTGGCAGTGGCAGGGAAATGGGAGTAAAATTCAGAGAATGTTTGTGAACTTTTCTGATATATCTGAAATATATAGTTATTTCAGATATATTGCAAAAGTTTGAATTTTTTGTAATATTCAGTTGAAAGCATATTTTCATATGGTCAGATCAAACTTACAAAATAAAGTAGAAAAAAGATGGCCTCGTGAATGCTACTTTGCATTACAATTCATCTGCAGAAGATAGTTTAATTGAAATAGATTAAGTCCCATCACATGAACACTAGCCAGACAACCGCTGCTTTTTATATTTCATATACAAAAATCACAGAAAGAGTTAAAACGTACCATACTGGATGAGTAAAAATGTACCATGCCGGTAAAGATCAGAGCTTTAAAATATATCTAAGGGATCACATGAAAAAGCTGCCTGTATCTTTTAGTTTTGAACGCTGGTTGCACGTGAGTCTGTTGGTTCAGACTTCATTATTTTTATGGCCTCCACTGTGTAAAGTGTTACAATGTACATAACTGCCAGCTGTGTTTTATTTCATCACTAGCAAATGAGTTAAAAAAAAAAAAAAAATCACACCTTTTCCCACAAACTTACATAATAATTCAAAAATGCCATAAAAGTCTTCAGTTGTGCCATGTCTGTATGCCACAGAAACGCGGCATACGGTTCTTTCCAATACCAGCATTTTCAGCCCCAAGGAAAGGCTATAAATAGTTAAGTTTTCAGGAGAAAGAACGAGGTATGTTGTAAATGAGAAGTCTCTCTCTGCTTGTGAGCTTTTATTGTTTTGCATTACTTCAGCGCTGGATTCCTGATTTGTAACAAATTCCAAGACTGCAGACTACAGGCCCAGCCTCTGACTAACACTGTGGTGATTTATTTGAGGATAAATACCTCTGTCCGCATCTTATGACTGAACCCAACAGTCCACAGCAGCGTGGAATGCGGGGAATGCAGCGGCTGCGGGAGCTGAGGCAGCCGGGAAAGGGGCACAACTA